CCTCTCTCTCTCTCCCTCACCCACCCTCTCCCTCTCTCTCTCTCTCTCTCTCTCTCTCTCTCTCTCTCTCTCTCTCTCTCTCTCTCTCTCTCTCTCTCTCTCTCTCTGGCTTTATCTCTCTATCTTTCTCTTTCTCTCTCTCTCTCTCTCTCTTTGTGTGTGTGTGTATGTGTGTGTCTCTCTCTTTCTCTCTCTGTATCTCTCTCTCCCTTTCTGGTGTTATGATACGCATTTCTTGGGGGGGGGGGGGGGATTCAAAGTGTTTGGTGCATGTGAAAAAAGAGCTCTTCCACCAAACTTGTTTGACTTTGACTTTACTGTGGACACTCTCAATACTCTCATGAAGTTCTCATTCAGTTCTCAAATTATGTCTTGGTGGTACGTATGACTCAATAAGGTCTTTACCATATTGTGGTGGTTTGTTGTTTATGCACTTGTGATTTGTGACATATAATAAGAGCGATGTCGTAATTGACTCTAGCTTTAACTGGTAGTCAATGTCACTTTTTTTTTTTAAAGAATAACGGTGTTATGTGTTATTTTGTGGGTTTTCTTAGACCAATTCAGCTCTATCAACAGTTAAACCCATCTCTTTTTCAGGACTTTTCTACAACTAAAAACACCCAAGATTGTTTGATTGAGGAAAGAACGAGCAAACTACACAGGAGCGCCCACCAACCACTCACCTTTCACCCTACAAACTAGGGTCCAGCGAGCATACGTAACCTACGGAGCATGCATTTGCACTAAATATATATCATGGATGTACACTATAGTACTAGATACAGTATGCCCCTCTCTCGCCTTGCTGCGCGATGGCCACATTTGACAGCGGCGTCCGCCATGTTTTTTGTGGCAAGTTGTGTGAAGGAGTTCATGCTAAAGCAATGGGCTAGGCATGTTTTCTCTCTCATACGCGACAGGCGAGGCTTGGTTCTTGTTGATTTTATTTTTTTACATGGGCGCCGTGGCGTACTATATCTAAATTACTAAATTGCAATAATACGGCGTTCTTTCTACAGCTAGATCTACAAATAAATGTATTATTAAATAGATAGAGATATATGGGCTTTTTAAAAAAAAGAAGGAAAAAAACAACAAACCTTTGTTTCTTCATCAGCACTTTATCTACGAGGTGGTTTATTTCTTATTGACCGAATCTAAGCGTATAGGGCCAAGAAGAAGTATGAAAAGATGTGGGTGTCATGGGAACCTACCATAACCACCCCACCGTCTCTCTCCTCCCGAATCCCAAAACCAACACCCCCCCCCCCCCCCCAGGACCTCTCGAATAAAATAAAAATTTGGCGTGTGAGTTTAATTAACTACAGAGGTGTCCCTAGGGGAAAAAATTCCAGAGTTTTTCAGCCTTTAGGTGTAGGAATGCAATGAAGCTCTTGATAAAGCAAATTCAGTCAAACAAATACTGTAATGAATACATGTACTGGTATTTTTAAAATCGAGTTAAACTTTCCCTTGTGACATTTGAACAGGAAACTGTATTTTTCATTCATATGTTCACTTTTTAAAAAAGTATACTAAATTGTAAGTAGTGTTTTCTTATGTCGGTATTAAACTTTGGTTTATATTGATTTTAAGAACTAAAGTAGACCATATACAGCACTTAAACTAAAGCTCTTTCTGTTTTCTGTTTCAAGTAAGTCTCATTTTGGACATGAGTAAAACAACTGTGACAACTCTGGACTCTCTAATGATAAAAAAAGTGAACTTAAATGTTGTTTTGTAGCCTAGTCAATTGTTTTTCTACTCAGTGTAGTGATAACTGAAACAAAAATCTTTACTAAGGAGATTTGGACAACATTCAATAAAACAAAACAATAAAAAGTACACTGTTTCAGTTTGATAAAGAAATTTCCTGCCCATTGTGAAAAAGATCTAGCTGCTAGTAAACCTTAACTTCACATGGCCCAGAACCTTATGTGATGGCTTTTTTTTTTTTTTTAAAAGAAACCCGGAGTGACTATTTGTGTCTGTAAGACATATTATGAACTAAAAATAGATGATGTAATAAAAGAAAACAGACATCACTGAACTGCCTGACAGAACCAGTAAGACGTTAATCCAGAAAGGGACAAGAGGTTTCACATGCTTGCACCTTTAAGAGAATCGCTTGGAATCAAAACATAACGTTAGAATCAAATAAAACACGTAAGACTAAGAGCAGAGACACGCCCACTCACATGTAAACAAACTTTTTAGCCACATTAAAAATGGCCGCCAACAAAATCAAATGTGTCCATGTCACGTAACCGCGTACGGACTCTAGTTTAAAAGGGGGTAACTCTATGATATATATATATATATATATATATATATATATATATATATATATATATATATATATATATATATATATATATATATATATATATATATATATATATATATATATATATACATGTATATATATATATATATATATTGGGTGAGGGGGGGGGGGGACTTACTTAAAGTAAATCCTTTTTATCTTGTCTAGGGCACTGTGAACGTTGTAATTTTCATTCAAAAGTGTCTGTTCACTCCCATAATATCTTCGTGCTTGTGGCCTGTGTTTATCCATAGAGCTGTTATGTTATATGTCGGTAGTGAGGGAGGAGGTGAGGGTATAGGTAAGGTGGAAAGAAAGAGTGAGCCGTGGAGAGAGAGAGAGAGGGGGGGGCGAGAAAGAGAGTACGAGAGCGCGTGAGAGATTGAGGGATGAGAGGGGGGGGTGGAGGATGCGAGACAAACAGACAGACAGACAGGCAAATAGACAGAGAGATGGGAATGCTAGAGGTGGTGAGAGAAGGACATAGAGAATAAGTGAGAGAGAGAGAGAGAGTGAGTGAAAGAGAGATAAGGAAAGACAGACAGACAGAGAAAGAGATAAAAAAGAAAAAAAAAGGGGGGGGGGACACAGACAGAGAAAGAAAGAGAGAGACAGACAGAGACAGAGACAGAGAGA